GCCCTGCACCAGCCCTGCTCCGGCCCTGCTCCGGCCCTGTGCCGGCCCTGCTCCAGCCCTGCTCCAGCCCTGCCCTCCGGGCCTCTCTCCACCCAGGGAGAGGCAGGCAGCCTGGGAGATCTGGCTCCCGGGGGGATGATTCCACTTGGGTGTAATTTCTTGGGGAGCAGGGCCTTTAGGGATACTTGCTCTGTCCCAGAGCAGGGCCCCCCTTCACCCTGAGCGCTCTCACCAGGCCTCTTGGAGCGGATGGTCTGCCGGATCATGAGGGACATCGTGTCCCTCAGGTCATCACTGGTCTTGGGGAGGCACCAGCCATCTCGCTCCGTGCAGCAGTTCTCAGCCCCGTCGTTGCGGTGAATGATCCTCTGCAACCTGGGGGATGGGACACAGCGTTTCAGGATGGGCTTCTGCCGACAGGTGCCGTGAGGGTCTGGCAGAGGCGGGGCAGTGCTGGGAACAGTAACACTGGGACAGCCATGCAGAGGGCCAAGCGCAGCACTGAAGAACACCCATGGAAGCCGGCCCCTCGCGGCGGGGGTCCTGACTGGTGTGGCCCCTGCCTCCAAGCTGCACAGACGGTGGGGGATGGCCACGCGAACTTTCCTGTGAAAACCCCGGGCTCTCACCTGACTCGAGCTGCGTCTAACGAGCTCCCGTCTCTCCCCATCCCAGCGCCCCCCACCCCCTTTCTAAACATTACTAAGAACAACTGGCTGAGAGGCTGGGAGGTCGCTAGGACTCCAGTGTCGGCCAGGAGACTCAGGAACCGTGTCCCGAGCCTCCATGTGGGCGACGGAGGAGGGGGCCGCAGGTCTCTGCCCTGCCCAGCGTGGCGGATCGGGGGGTGCGGCCCAGGCAGACCCCGGAAACCACTCCCGCAGGCAGACGGAGGTGCCCCCAGCCCCCGCCGCCCAAGCCAGGGCTTCCCACCGAGGCCGAGAGCCAGCGGAAGAGCAGCAGGGAAGGCCTTGGTCCAGAGCCCCACCATCCCCCACCCCCTGACGCCTCAGGGTCCCTCATACGTACTCTTCCACGTTCAAGTCACATAACTGGTAGAACATCTGTCGATAGGGTGGCAAGGCCCCCTCCCGGAAGACGTAGACCGAGTCCTGGGCAGAGGACAGCAGGACAGGACAGTGCGTTGGAGCTCGGAGCTCTCCCCGGCCGGTCCGCACCTGGCGGGCCTGGCTCCCCACTGTCCCCCGGATTCAGGTGGGGCAGACATGCCAGGGGCCAGGAGGAGGCGTGCAGAGGCTCCGACGCCCCTGACTCTAGGACCACGAGCCACGTGGCCAGCCACGTGTTATGGCATGGGCTATCACGCCAGCTTTGCGAGCCTTCTGCAGTCTGCCCTCGTCCCTCGCCACCTCCTATCAACTGGCCCTGTTCTGTGGCTTCCAGACGCCCCCTGCTGAGGAGCAGGGCTTACCGGGTGTCTGTTTTCTAGAGGTAGGGATGGTGGCCTGAGTGAGAGTGCTTGAAGAGGGAGGACGGCCACTGAGGCGAAGACGTGGCGGCCCTCCTAAGAGGACACCGATGGTGCCTGTCTCCGTGCCCCTCTGTGCCCCTCTGCATGAGGCAGCCGAGCCAGGGGGATGGGGGGGGACCAGACAGCCCAAGTGGGTGAAAGGCCCATAGACTCCCACCTTCGGGTGTGCCGAGGACCCTGCAAGCCTGTGAGGGGTCCTGGGACTTGGCTGCCAGCACCCCGCCCCGTCCACAGCGGGGGGCCCGCGGTCTGCCGTGGCTCCGTACACTCCTGCGCACCCCAGCCGGCCCATCCGGGCAGCGGCCACAGGCTCACAAAAGGCAGCCACGCACAGCTGCTGGTGTCACCTGTCCCTCTTGGAGACATGCCCAGATGGTCCTCAGTGCCCACTGCCCACACCGAGCTCTCACCGCGCTTCCCAAGGCCGTCCTGGAAGGCACCGGTGGGCAGAGCTGCCCGTCAAAGCCCTTCCCGGTGGCCCAGGCCAGGGACTCTGGGAGCGAGTGTGTGCCCAGCCTGCCCGTGGGGGTTGCCTCCTCTCCCCCGTCCACTGCACCCTCAACCGGGTGGGCGACTGCTCTCCTCTGGGGCTCAGGGGGCACCCACCTTGAGCTTGTACTTGTTGGAGGTCGATTTCCGCGTGCCGGCCATCCCCGACGGGCCCAGGCCCTGCTTCAGGTCATGCATGGTGACAGGCTGGCTGGCTGTGGGGGGACAGCAGCAGTACTTTGGAATACAGGGGGATGTTTCTCCCCAGCCCTCCCTGGCGCGCTGGCCAGCAGCGCCCTGGAGCGGCCCCTTGGGAAGCCCCACCGCACCTCACAGTCCAGATGCCCACCTTCCTCGCGTCTCTGTGCGGGCAAATCAGTCCCGATCCCGCAGGGCGAGCAGAGGCACTTACGCATCTTTTTGACGGTGATGGGAAGGCTGTAGTTGTAGGTGCTGCGCTTGGCCTTGACGGGCATGTCACTTGGGGCGTAACCTGCAGGCGAGGAAGGGCGTGTCGGGCGCAAGGGGGCGCAGAGCCCCTTCTCGCAAACAGAACTGGCTTTGCACTATCGGCGCACCAGGGTTCCCTGGGGCAGGCTCCTGAGAAAGGGACGCCAGGCCCCCCCGCACCAGTTGTCAGCAGGCACCATTCCAGCGCCAGCCACACAGGACTGCGTGGAGTGGCTCACCGCGGGCCCAGGGACTGGACGCGTACGGGGTGCCTGGCCCCCACCGCAGGAGCCGGAGTAAGTGGAATAACTGAGTGGATGAAGAATTGGTTCAGTAGCTTGAGGGCCAACGGTGGAGCCACGACTCAAGCTGGGACCCTCATTTCTACGCTATTCTGCAAAGACCTCACCAAGGAGCAAAGGCTTTTTTATCTTCACCACATGGATACATTCTTATTTCAAAAGAGAATGCTAGCAGCAGAAAGCAATTAAGAGAGAGAAAGACAGAAAGACAAGGTTTTAGTAATTTTTACCGTATTTCATTCCACAACGGATTCGGAAATCAAGGACTTGATAAATCTTGGCGTCTGGGTTTTTTCGGGGATCGTACCCATATCGGATCCACAGGCTTCTCCAGGGCCCTGTTATCTGGAGACAAAAGGCAGGAGTGTGAAGTGGGGCCTCCCTCAGGGATGCAGGGCCGGGACGGGGCAGCTGAACACCCCGAGAGTTGGGGACACAGCTCTGGAACCCCACCCCGGCTCTGCTGTGTGCGGTTCTTGGGCAGGTCACTTGGCCTTTCTGAGCCTTGGTCTTCCTGCTGGAGGTGAGAGGAGCCCCGTTTCCCATCGCTTCTGTGAGGATTACAAGAGGTGATGCCCCAAGAGCCTTTACCACGCCGCCTGGCACACAGGAGGTGCCCAGGGAGCGTTTCCGCCATCCCAACGGGTGGTACTCCTGAGGTCCTTATGTCTAGAAAGCCAATGCCAAAAGACAGTGGCGCTCGGAAGTCTGGGGTCCGAGCACAGGAGGGATGAGCCTTCCTTGTGCCCCCACCTTGTGCCCCACCTGTCATCACCATCACGGTCACATCTCAGGCTTGCCTCCCCAGGGCTCCATGCGGGGACCCCTGGCAGGTAGGATGCCTTCCTCCAGCGCCTTTGGGAACCTCAGTAATGACACCTCATCCCCAGGCCCTTCTGGACTGAGCCCAAGGTGGATCTGCCTCTCCTACCCCCACCCCCACTCAACCCAGGTAGAATGAGCCAAGGCTGGTGGCCCTGTGGTTAGGGGGCCTGGGTTCTGCAGCCTAACAGGCTGGGGTCCCAAGTGGCTCTGTCATGTGCTGGCTAGAGGACCTTGGCACATCAAGTCACCTCTCTGAGCCCCAGCTCTGCCTCAGAGGTAAGAAGAGAATCCTGCTGCCACCCCCCAGGGAGGGGAAAAAGGATATAATAGGTACACAGCACTTAGCCCCAGCACCTGGTCCTTAGAGCATTCTTTTTTTTTTTTTTTTAATTTTATTTATTTATTTGACAGAGAGACTGAGATAGAGAGAGCATGAGAGGGGGGAGGGTCAGAGGGATAGGCAGACTCCCCGCTGAGCAGGGAGCCCGATGCGGGACTCGATCCCGGGACTCCAGGATCATGACCTGAGCCGAAGGCAGTCGCTTAACCAACT